TAATACAAGACATAGAAATTTATTTATATAAAGCTTTTTCTTGAAAAAATATTAGGGAAAATAATAGGATTGTTAAATTTATAACTGTCTAGGTACAAAAATAATGCCGATTTTTTAAAACAAAGAAAAAAGTTATTATTATTATTTTATTTTTTTTCACAACGGCAGAATTTATAAAACTCAAAAAAGCCAATGTACAAATATACACAACGAGCTACCCCAAGGGTAGAAAACAGTTATTATTTGAATAGGATCAATGTTACATGTCTAATTAAAACAAAAATATATACTTATTATAAGGTATCCTATTTATCAAATTTAGTAGGTTGAAAAGTCAACGTAATTAATGCATTGTTTATTTCTATCCAGAATTTTATTTAATTATTTTATTTGTTCGTCTTATATACCATAAAAACAGTTTAAGAAAAAAAAATCTCATAACATCTGATAAGTCAAAAAAATGACGTAAAATCTTTACTAAAGTAAAAAAGACTTTATTTGTTTGTCTTATTCCATATTAATATCAATTTTGTCAAAACAAATCTCATAAAATCGGTGAAGTCAAAATTTGTACGTAAAGTCTATATATACTAAAAAAAGACAGATTCAAAATTCCTTATCTAATTCCTTTTTTTCTTATTTAATTCCTTCTTATTATCTAATTGTATGAAAAACTGTTCTGATTTTGTTTAATCCTCTAATTGTATTTGTATTATATCCCAATATGGAAATCTATTCTGATATTTACATTATTTATATTTATTTTCGTGTATTGGAAATTTTTTTATTGAATATTGCATCTTATATTATAATAATCCCCAAATATATCCCGTGTCTCGCACAGGTCACGTACTATATATATCCTGTACATTTTATTTATTCATTTATATAATTATAAGGCTGGATAAATTACTTTAAATTGTGCAACTCGTGCATCGCACGAACTCTGTACTAGTAATAATATATCAATAAGAGATTGCAGCCGAAAATTGAGGGAAAACCAAATAATTTTATTAAAAGTTTAATTTGCTTGTAATTATATAGGAAGATGCTACGATCCGGTTACGGAACTATTCAGTCAGGGTTTGTAATCGATAGATCATACATCTCCGACGGTTACAAGATGATCTAACGGTTATAAACTCCTAGTTCCGTAACATGACCATAGCATTTATATAGTTTTACCCGATGGAAAATTTCAATATTCAAAACTGAAATTGAGTCAAATTTCCAGTATTCGACGCGTGAAAATGATAATTCATGCCATAATACTAGTTTGACTTAAATATTTGACTTGAATTGCCTTTCCACTTGTATCATAATAAAGTGATCAAATAATAAACCCTAGCTACTTAATAGCATTCTGCCGCGATTGAATGAAACATATATCAAATTATATAATTATATATAAGAATCTTATATTGGAATTAAACTCTATCTATTATTTCACATATATATATATATATATATATATATATATATATATCATCCCTAAAACACACACACACACACACACCAATTTGATGATGAAATTTTTTTACTTGTAAATTCACCATATATATAAAAGTATTATTGATTTATTTTTGTAAATAAAACAAATACGAGCAAGATATATATGAGGAAAGCAATAAGAAACAGCATGTTGGTGGGATGGCTCGCAATCGTCTTTGTTTCCTTGTCTCTTGGCTCATGTGTTGCACATAATTATGCCACTACTGCAAACAGGTTACTAATTTCTTTCTTTAAAAATTAATACTATGCGTGTTTATTTTTATGGTTTAGTTCACTTTGTTTTTTAGGTTTTGGTGTCGTCAGCGTGTGTTTGTGTTTTTTTCTCCTATGGGGACGGTGTGGTATCCCATTGGGATTGATAATTCTTTCGTTGGGTACTGTGTTTTTCTTTTTGTTGTGTGCTCTAGGCTACCGTTAGATGTTGGTAGGCCTCTAGTGACCTGGTTGTAAGTATGTGTTATAGTAATGAGTAAATCATTTGAAAAAAATAATAATAATAATAATAATTCTATGATTCTTATTAAAAGTTTTGATTTTTTTTTTTTTTAATAATCTAACATTCTATAATTCTTGTGGGATATCTAAACTAAAATTATAATTATGTCTAAATTACCATAAATCATAAGTTACAAATTAAATTACCCTGAATCGATTATAAATTATAAAATAATTATTATGTTTAATGGAAAACCAAAATTTGAAAATAGCGTAAACTTTTTTCGAGTATTACTAATTCTATACATTCCAATGTGGAAATGTATTATTTTTTTCAATTTAATAACTATTTAGTTTTATATCAAGATTTTCTTACGGATTATATATTGTTAATAAGAAGGCAATCATAAATTTATATTTATATCTATATATTATTAAAAATATAGTTATAAATTGATTAAGAAATTATTTTTGTCTTTTGTATTACTAAATAAATGGGTATATTAATTTTGTATAAAATTCAAAACTTATTGGCCTTTTGATCAACTTTTGAAAATTAAAACAATAAATCAATCATCATTTCATATATATTTTTTTAATTTAACACTTATAATGGGCATACAAAACTAATTTTCTTACATATTTATATGAACATATTTTCTTATCAATTTGTAGGTCTTTTAACCGTGAAAATGTTGAAATTATTGGAGGTTTTGGTCAAATTCATACTCGTTAAAGTTGGACTCGATGAAATCACGATTTTTGACTTACAAAATATTCATATCCCCTATCTATTAATACAAAATGTGCTGAGTCTAAGTGACATGCTCGCATGTTTCGGGTCTTATGTGGCAAAATTACATGCTTCATTATTAAGCTTGCATAGATTTTAATTTACTTACAATCTAAAATAATTAGGTTCGGATTATCCATAAATATGGTGATTATTTATGGTCATGTTATATTTATCATTGCATTAAATATCATTTCTTATTATAACGATTGAATTGTAAATGTACTTTTAAAAGTTAATAATTTTTTTATTTTTCATCAGTTTTACATATATAATCTATGAAATTAATCATCTCTTGATGAGTTTTGATTTAACATACATATTATATGTATAAAAAAATAAATTATTTTTATCTTTATGACAATAATAAAATTATTTTTTAATAGTAATTAGAAAAACAAAATTATTTATTAATTAATATATTTATATTTCAAGTAGTTATATGATATAAAAATTACTACAATATAACACATGTAAGTCGCACAAGTAACAAGCGAGGACTGGTATTGATTGGCCCTTGGTAACACTCGTTCTTCACGCTCGTGTCATTCTAAAATATGTAGTAATATATATATTTTGTGAAAAAGTAAATAAAATTTAAAATAATTTTTCTTATTAATTTTAAAACTCAAGAATAAATTTTTAACAAGCATACGTGTAATACACGAATGTTGTACTAGTAATATATTAATGTACAAACTCAACAGTACAACTCACCAATACACTCGCCAGAAATCGTCTTTACCATAATGCAATTCATAAAGTATGGTGTAATTTGATATTATCACTTTGAAAAGAAATAATTCCTGTAAAGAATAGTGATTAATAATTTGATATGACTTACAAATAATAATTAAATAGGAGTACAACAATGTAATACACGAGTACTAATTAAAAAAATTATACTTAAGAACTTAAAAAATATATTTTTATTTTGTAAGTATTTAAAATATACATTAGCATTTTTATTTAAAATGATACATTCTCGCCAAAGACTCGTTCATAAAGGTACATGTAATTTGTTTATATATATATATGAACATCAAATATAAAATTATCAAAAGATAATTAATTTGATATATTATTACATGAAAATTAATAACTATTTGAATATCAGTCGTGAGTTGTTCTACATCGTTTACATTTGAAAAATATGCCTAATTTATAACTTTAATGGGTTACTCTTCATTTCACCAATTGATATATAGAATGAAAATAAGTCTAACATCCTTTCAGCAATTGGTTTCTTACAATAACAAATTAAACAAGTTGCACATTTTTAAATAAATTTGAGTCAATAATGTATTTTATAATGTTAAACTGATAGTAAACTTTTAATTCATTATTAATTTTTTACAAAATATTTAATGATATCGGGATGAGCTTCAATTTGACAATTATATTGTACCTACAAAATAAATAACTACATCCATCTTTATAATAAAAATGTATTTACTGTTAATATTAATTGAACAAATAAAATTATTTAAAATTTAACTACACAGTGGTTATATGATATAAGTTAAAAATTTATTCTAATATAAAATGGTAAGTCTTATAAGTCACGAGTGTCATTTTAAATATAAATAATAGTATAGCTTTTCAATTTTCCTTTAACTAGTACGTAACTCATGCGATGCACGGGCTGTATTTATTTTAGATGATATTATAATTTGAAGTGTATTAATAAATAAAATAGTGATATTATGTAAGTAAATTGTCAAATTATAAAATATTCATCATGAAAAAATAATATATTATTAAGAACTTCATTGTACACTATAATTAGTTTGATTACTTGGCAACTCGTTGTCCCCAAAAACTAATATTATAAACCAATTTCTATTACTTACATGCGACACAACAACATATAACATGTGTGACTAAAAACCAATTTATTTAAGGAAAGGTCAACGCACGATAAAAACGGACGCTGACTTTTATTTATTGTAATGACATACAAAACTATAAGTAACAACCGATGACGTCGGAACTTAAATGGAACTCTAAGATCAGAATGATCTACTTGTAATATGATAATTACCTGACAGTTCGAGAAATGAGTTGTTAGTTATCATTTTAATATCGATTATACTTAATTAGCTAAATAATATTTATTATTATATTTATAGTTTTATATTTTATATAAAAATGCATTAAACATGTATGTTTAAAATATTAAAACACTTAAAATATTATATAACATGTGTAATTAGTCATTAATTCACGTTAATTTTTTCAAATCGAACATTTTTTTAATGGACCACTGCCCTATTATATTATATGTATGAAATTTTTTTATGTAGTAGATTTATATATTAAAATTTTTGTCCAGCAGATTTATATTTATCAATACAAATAATAGAAAATCGATTTACTATACAAATTTCAAAAATTTTGCTTTAAAAACAATAGTAAAAAAGAATATAAAATGATGATTTGTATATATTAATTTCACATAAAATGGAATATATATATATATATATATATATATATATATATATATATCATAACAAAGTATATATATGTCATAACAAATCATTTATTTTCAAAATTTGCTACAATGAATAAACCAATTTAAACTAATTTTCTATCATTCCGAAAAAAAAAAGAATAAACCAATTTGAATATTACTATAAAAATATATTTTGTGTATATATATGGCAACTTAAATCATTGATCCTATTAAATATGATGAACTCAAAAAAAATCTTCCATAAATGAGAATTCCAAAATTGGAGCCATATAAATTTGAAGATTACTATAAAATTATATTTTTGTGTATATAGCATATATGCTAATCCAAATTAATGATTTTAATAAATCTGTTAAAAAAATCCTCCATAAATGAAGATTCCAAAATATGCTACATAATTATTTACATCATCTTTACCTACAAAATAACTATCAACTTGATTAAAGGAAACCTATAATTGACTAAAATAAACACAAAATGAAATCCGAGTTATATGAAAACTATGATTTATATTTTATTTAAACTAGTACAGATCCCGTGCGATGCACGGGGTGCACAAAATTAAGGTCATTTATCAAGTCTTATAATTATATAAATGAATAAAGAAAAATGTACGGGATATATATAGTACGTGACCTGTAATAGGCCAAAATGTGAACATGGATGATGCATGGAGTGCACAATTTTAAGGTCATTTATTAGTACAGAGTCCGTGCGATACACGGGGTGCACAATTTTCTAGTATGTGTAATACAAATACATACCATATGCACGGGAAAGAAACACTAAATGAGTTATTTCCTCAGAGCTTGCCCGTTAAGTAGCTCCTGAACACGGGTGCACAATTTGAAGTACATACTATAAAATCAGAACAAATTTTCATACAATTAGATAATAAATTAGATAATAAATAAAGCCTTTTTATTTAGTAAAGACTTTACGTACTTTTTTTTAGTTATCGGATGTTATGAGATTTTTTTTATTAAATCGATTTGATGGGATATAATACAAATATAATTAGAGGATTGGACAAAATCAGAACAAATTTCTATACAATTAGATAATAAGAAGGAATTAGATAAAGAAAAGAAGAAATTAGATAAAGAATTTTGAAACTACATTTTTTTAGTATAGATAGACTTTGCGTACAAATTTTGACTTCACCGATTTTATGAGATTTGTTTTGACAAAATCAAAGACGAACACTGAAAAATGTTTCTATTAACATTTACAATGTGTATTTAAAATATTTAAAAGTATCTAAAATATTAGTAATTAGACATGTGAAATTTAGATTTTTAAAAAATCTATATAGATAATGGATTTATAGTAGTAATTAGACTTTTATTTATTTACCTTTAAAGTTGTTACGATGAGGGATGTGATTTTTTTTGACTCGTGGAGATAAAATTTTATAAGCTGAGTTATGAAATTTTCTTAAACTCGTCCATATCTATGTGATGAGTTTTTTAAGCTGGTTATATAGATTTAAAATTGTAAGAAAAAAAAAAAAAAACTTTTATAAATCATTTGATTTGGTATTTTTGGAGAGCTTCATTAATTTAAAAGTAAAAATAAATATATAAAAAAAAGTACAACTGAAAAAGTTACAGCCAATTGTATGGAGACTTAAACTAAATCCAATTTTGTAGGATGCATTAAATATTGATTAGATTTTATATGTAAAATAAAATAAAAAATAACTGGAATAGGTTTACGTGTTGCAATATTTTATATTTAAAAAAATTAAAAAAATCTTCTTTTACGTATTCCATATCAACATTTTGAACAACATGAATATTCCTAAAATTAATATTGCATACCCAATATTTTAGGAACTAATTAAATGCTAATTTGATTTGCATACCAAAAATATTAGATGCATTAATTAAATGCTTGATAAAAATAGCAAATCATTAATTAGAATTGACTATTCTACATACTACATTTAGTAAATAGTATATCTTTTAATATAAGTATAAATAGTATTATATTATTTCCATCTATATAAAAGTTGTAACGAGAACTTATGCAGGTCGGCTGCACAGAGCGGTAAATGGTCACATTCTCCCCTTAAGCTCCGTATATTGCATCGCCATGTGAGCCCACATTTGATTACATCGAAAAAAAACCGTCTTTAATCTGTTTGAATAAATGACTGAAAGAACTTTGATACTTTTAATGTACTTTTAGCACATCATTTTTTGTATAAGGTAACTGAAAGAGTGGCTAAAGAATATCCAAGTTAGAACTTCGTTCTTCTTCATCAAGGACTTCCTTTTGCATGCAGGTCGTGATGGATAATGGCATCGTTAACCTTAAGTTAACAAAACCGACCGGCTTGGTCTCAGGCGTCGCATACAGAGGAGTCAAAAATGTCCTCGAATATAAGAATAAAGAAACAAAAAGAGGGTAAGCACAAGCTGTCAATGTTTCAAATACAAAGCCACGTTAGCCTTCACTTACTGTTAGTGTTTAAACGTTTCGGGAGGGATTTTCGTTTAGTCCAAGTTCAGTTTTTCAATAAGAAAAAGGTTGATATCGCTCGTCGTGTTTAATATGTGATTTAATGCAGGTACTGGGATATTGTATGGCGTCGGCCAGAGAAAAACATAAGCAATTTTGACATGTAAAAAACCTTTTAAAATGTGATTATGAAATTGTCCAAGCTTTTTTTTTTTTTTTTTTTTTTTTTTT